GGGGAGAGCCAGAGGGCGGGGGGTTACGTCATGATTTAGTGATATGTTGACGGAATATTCGATGCAGTAATTATAGGACGCGCGATTTGACGCAATGCGATCACGCTTGTGGCGCGATTAACTAGTTAGCATGAAAATTACACGTGCGTGCACACGTACGTGTGTAATTTATAGTTAGATCAGCGTTATCTATCATGCGCGATTTATCTATCGGCGGCGGTATCGTCGTCGTACCACCGGCCATTCCCTGCCGCAATGTGACTTCGATTGCGAATTAGTTACCGCGCGCGTACGAGAGATACACGCATCGGTTCTGCTATTAATATCGGGGATAATTAATATATATGAGTTTACGAATGTACCGCGGCATGTGCGCGGCCGAAATGACGGATGCGCGCGGGCTACCGTATAGGTTTTAGAGAATCCCTCTTCCCCCTTCCCCCCTCCCCACTCACCCCTCGCCCTCCTGTCACGGTGGAACTCTTTTGTTCGCACGGCGAAATTAATGGCGAATTGTGGTGTGCTTGATAATTATTTCTGCCGCGGCAAGTGAGATAGAGAGAGAGAGAGAGAGAGAGAGAGAGAGAGAGAGAGAGAGAGAGAGAGAGAGAGAGAGTGGAGGGGCGAAAGGAAGAGAGGGGGGGAGTTTTTGTGAGAATTGCATAAAGTCGCGACACCGCGAAATTGTTGGCTCTTCCGGACGAGCGCGCGTATGGCCTCTCTAATGATTTACAAACTTCCTTCCGCGGAAGGAGCTTCTCCTTCCGCCATGCCCATTTCTTCGGGGCTCATTCCGACTCGTTTAACAGGCCGTTCTCAAGACTTCCCGTGGACACTCGAAGCTCGAGAACAGCCGAGCTCTCTCTCTCTCTCTCTCTCTCTCTCTCTCTCTCTCTCTCTCTCGTCTGCGAGCGTGTTATTCGACGAACGTTCAGCCAGCAATTACTAGAATCTTGTTTCCGGAGGCGGGACTTTTTCTCATCTTTTTCGATCCCGCGGCTATCTCCGCGTGAAATATCCTCGTCTTCAGTGTTTGCTTAATCATTAACGACGCGGGTTACCGTTATCTCGTTAATATCCAAGGACAACGGCGGACGAAGGGACCCTCGGCACGGGCGCTCGATGGGATGTGGAAAGAATATTTGCGCAAAGAACGATCGCGCTCGATATGAACTTTGGCGATATCATTTCTTCCTCGGCGTCGCTCGCAGGATACACTCTCGGAGCGCCGCTGTCGTAAAGGTCGATGGCGCGATGGCGCCGGCCCCTTGGAGAGAAGATCGCGCGCGCTCTAATCTACATCAGCGCGTTACACATCGGCAAACGCGAAGTGCTTAGCGCGCCGGGGGATCCAATTTTTTCCGCTGTAATTGCCTTCGACTTTCCGATCGCACTCGGCGGCGGCGGCCGTTTAATTAAGAGGATTGGCTTACTACGTGCGTATCGGACGCACGCGTACGTGGCTCTAGTCTGCTTAATCCTCACGGTCGTGGATTTAGATGTACCAATTCCGTTCCTCTCGCACATGTGTGTTGCGCGCGCGTACGCGTACAAGTACGTGCTCACACGCGCGTAGACGAGCGCGAGCGACCTCCGCACGTGGTGCGTACGTGTGTGTGAATTTGATCCACCCTTCAAGTTCAGTACGTGGCAGGCGTCAGGCCGTGATCCGTTACTGGAGGATCATCCAGACGGTTAGGAACTTCTAATTACGACGAAGGTTACTCTCCGACGACCTGGCCGCGCGCGCGCGCGTCCGCACGCGATGGTGCGAAGTATCCGCCCTTATTTGAGCTGTGTACGTGAAATTTTCGCTCAAAAACACGAGACAAGAAATACAGAAACTTTGATCGAGGCTTGATTAGCGCGCCGTGAGATGCACACCGAGGCAGAGAGAGAGAGAGAGAGAGAGAGAGAGAGAAAAAGAGAGAGCGAGTGAGTAGGGGGAAGAGAGGGTGGGAAGGAAAGAGAGACGGGGAGAGAGAAAGTTGTTGATTGCTGCCAAACTCTCGACGCTCTGAATGTTTATGAAGTCGTCGGTCTCGTATTTCACGAGTTGGAACGTTGCTGCAGACGTGTGCTCTGCGGATCTTTTTAAAGTATCGTCTGGGGTGCGTAACTTTTCCGCGTGCATTGACAATTTCAGACTTTCAATTTGCGGCGTAACGTTTGCACTGCGTGTTTGCGGCCGGGCGGAGGGAGGGGATGCGACGTTTTACGCTTAACGAAATTATGTACGAAATTAGTCTCATAAAGAGAGACAGGCGGAGGCAGCGAGAGAGAGAGAGAGAGAGAGAGAGAGAGAGAGAGAGAGAGAGGGAGAGTGAGAGTTGAGAGTTAAATTAACTTATTCAGTGAAGTTTTCGAAGCGGGAAATTTCTTTAAGGAGGGAAGAATGCTCTCAAAGGGACTACATCGGACATAATAAAGGTTGGAATGTCAAAGCATTCTTTCGCGCGTGATAAGAACAAAGTTCGACCGCGATACCAATTTCCACAGAGAGAGAGAGAGAGAGAGAGAGAGAGAGAGAGAGAGAGAGAGAGAGAGAGAGAGAGAGAGAGAGAGAGAGAGAGAGAGAGAGAGAGGATCTCTATCATTCTCTCAATTTACTCCCTCTAATACCCTGCGAACGACGAAAATCGACCGGCGTGTCAGTGAAAATCTCGATATTCCGCAAACGTTCGAATAATAACGTTAATAATACCAATGGCATTCGCGTCACGCACTGAGAATTAAGACAAGGTCCCGGACAAAGGGACCTTTGTCGCGCCGTCCGCTGCAATTATGTCACGGTGCGTTGCGATATAGTCAGGCATTATTTAGCAATATAACATTACAAACATGTCGCGCGCTATTGTCGCGGCGCGCTAAGGTCGCGGGGATTAATAGCGCGTTGCAACTTTTCAGGCCGAGCCGGCGAGGATTGGCGCGCGTGCGCGCGCGAAAAATTCGCAACTTCGTTCGCCGGCCAATTAGTCCGCATCGCAAGTTTTATAATCCCGGCCATATTTTGTCGGCCGTATTAGAATACATTGGACGCGTTATGCGTGTTCACCGTCAATTAAGATCTCTCGGCTACTTCTCGCGGCCGAGAATTACTTCCTTCCTCCCCTCCTCCTCCTCCTCCGGACCCTCCTCGGCTAATCTCCTCTTGGCCCTCGGCCGTCGTACACGCGTCGCATGAAGAAATTAACGTGTAACACGCGCTGCGAGGGAAAAGAAAAAGAAGAGAGGAGAAGAAGAAGAAGAAGAAGAAGAAGAAGAAGAGGGGCAGAGGGAGGGGAAGAAAAACATAAATTATTGCCCCTCCGCTCTACCGTATCTCCGGGATTTAGTGGGCGGGGTGGACTTTAGCGGGTCGCGGAGCTTGCATAATGCGACTCGCATAAATTAGCACGGTTATCGCCATTATCGAGCACGTAAAGAAACAATCTAAGAAAGCTTTACGAGCTTCCGCTTTAGCTGCTTAGCAGCCAGAAAGAGAGAGAGAGAGAGGGGGGGAGGGGGGGGAGTGGAAGAGGGACAGAGAGATTTCAACGCTGTTACGCGCGATACAACACACCGCGGCGACTCTCTCCCGGCTCGCTCGAGCGTTATCGAACGCCGGGACGCGGTCATAGTTATGCATATTAATTGTAGCGCGACGCAATAGCGCGCGCCCACGCTGACGAATTCAACGCGCATTCAAGCTAATGCATCGAAACACGAGGCCGGGGGTAGTAGGGGCTGGAGGCGAGAAACTTGTCACGCGCGTGTAAATAAGGCGTAATGTATGGGGCTTTGCCGTGTGAGAGGCGCGCGCTCGCGCGCGCGCGGATTACCCCCGCGCGAGCCGCACGCACCCTCTTCCACCACGTAAATGGAATGCAAAGTACATTCGGGCGTAAATCATGCGATAGAAACGACGGGCCCGGGCCGTAATCCATTGGCCGCGGCCCGCCGCGCCGCGGCCGGCGTAAATCGCGAAGATTGTGACAATGATTCAACGCAGGTTTACGGCACTCCGTGTAATTAAGTCGTATCCGACGGGTATTACGCGGGACTCGTCCGAGCGACTGAGCGTATCAGCGCGCTCGCGCTGATGATGTGTAATCGGATCGTCACCCGGAGGAAGTCCTCCCTGCGATGGTGGCGGCGCTCTCGTCGTAAGTCTCCTCCGACGCGTTTGTACCTTTTTCCCTCCTGCCTTCCTTTTTTCTCACGCTTTAGTTCCGCTTCGGTTATCAATCCCGCTGGTGCAAATCTGTGCGGAGCGGCGGCGGCGGGGGTTAATTTTTCACCGCACGCGCGAAATTGCCACGAGCGCGTGATCCGTGACTGCGCAACTGCGCGCCGCGCGCCAATCTGTGTTCTGTGTCAGCGCGGTGAAAGGACATCGAGATGTCAAAGCGTTTTCGCGTTCAACGCTTTTTGATTTTTTTTTCCAGTTTCGTTGCGAATTCGCCGCGCGTAACGCGCGCATTTTCGTTTGTTACCTCCTCCCCCTCCTCCTCCTCCTCCTCCTCCTCCTCCTCCCCGCTCCCTCCCTCTCTCTTTTTTCGATTGTCGCTCGGCGTGTACGAATTTCTTAAATTCAGTTTATTCGCGCCGATTTGATTTCTCTTTATTGCGCGTAATCTCTCTTTGTTTCCGCGAGCGTAAATTGAATTGAATTAAAAGGACTGCGTCGAACTGCAATGTCACGATAGAAAAATTGACAACAGCACGTGCCGCGTACGCGTTCGACATCTGTCATTAGGACGAAGGAAATAACGTTCCAACGTGAAAACGCCTGAGAGTGACCAACGTTGCGGGTCACTTTCGCGGACTCGGCGACGACCTTTAGAATTCGATAAATCGGCGGGGCAAGCTTTTTACCCGATGATATCAGACATTAAAGTCTGCCGCGCGGCGGACCAAGTCGTCGGATAAGCCTGTCTTACGGCTGATCTTTTTTTTATGCCGCCCCCGTCGGGCCTTTATCTCTGCCGTTAACTTGTCTTCTCTTCTTTTCGTAACAGGTGGTGACGAACGAACTCGTGGGAAAGGAACTCGCGGAGCCACCCTGCGCGCGGAGTGAGTGCACGCACAATTTTTAATGTTGCGAACGTAACGACGCCGTAATTTATGAAGGCTTACCCTCGGCCGTCGAGGACTTTAACGAGAACATTAAAGCTGTTTCAACCCGCTGCGGCTCTCGAACGCGAATTACGTGTATCGCGGTTTGTTTTCTTTTTATTTTTTTTTTCTCTTTCTTTGAAGACTCGCGGGAGGATATTTTTTCGACGGTCGACATGCTTCCTCGTGCGAAACTCTTAAACCATGTTATTAAATTTACCGCTGTTCCGTAAAGTATATATAACGTTTCGCGAAGGTAATAATGAAACGTACTTTGCAGGAACAGTTTCCTGCTCCTTTCCTTTCTCATTTCCAACGTTCTCGCATGTTAAGAGTAAAGAGTTTCGCTTATCTCTTTCTCTTTCTCTCTCTCTCTCTCTCTCTCTCTCTCTCTCTTCACAACGATGTATGTTCTGTAGTACTGTAGGGTTCCGTCCGCGATATTATTTTTGCACCGAGCGGCCTTTCTTTCGTATAAATTAACGCATCGAGCGACGATTGTCTGTCGCAGTCTGTTCGGTCGTGTTGCACATTTAATCGTACTTATGTATATTACCGCTCGGAACTCACTTGAAATTCCACCGACGTCAACTTCCGCTTGCTTCTGCTACTTTTAAAGTAGCTTGAAATATGCGTCAGTTACCGCGAAATTTTTCTCTCATGTCCTACCATGTCCTTGCAATATATTTTCGTGATACGTCTGCGAAATTAAAGCTCCATCAACGAAGTCGAATTTCAATTTAAAGTTTCCTCGAAAATGTAGTCTTAACGTCATTAAGGCGGTCGAGATAAAAAATTTAACAAAGGCAAATCCTAACCGTACCCGTTCACGAAGAAGAGGGAGAAGAAGAAGAAGAAGAAGAAGAAGAAGAAGACGAAGGAGAAGAAGAAGAATAAAGCAGGGGAGGAGAAGCGAACTCAGCGTAGCGCTCGCGAAACCGTCAAGAAATTAACCCACTTGAAAGTACTATTACTACTACTAAGACTACTACTAGATGCAAATTACAATTCTTGCGTCTTTAACAAAGTATCGCAGTTTCGACCGGTACAACACGGCACGGCGGCGGCAGCGCGCGCGGCGCGCGAAGTTCCGAAAACAAACGCAGCTAACTGCTCGCTCGCTCGCCACATTTATTTTCGCTCGTATTCCACATTTATTTTTTGTTCTCAGCCTAATTTCTAACGGCCGCGGACTCCAAGCGCGTTCTTCCGACGGAAGAATAACATTGCGCTCCCGAGCCTGCCGGCTTTCTCCCGGGTTGCGGCGCATCTGTCGTGTCCCGTTACGCTGTTTTTGCGAATGAAAACGTCTCCTTGCACGGCAATAATATCGCTCGGTCGGATGACGGCGATTTATTATCGCCCAAAGTGTAACGCTAAGTGTTCCGAGTTAGCGCGCTCGCCCGCAACGCGGCGAAATTGAATCGACTGGAGTGTCGCGCATTTTGTAGATTCATATTTTATCGACGACCGTTTCATTTAGGAGCGTTGTAGACCGCCTGCGGATTAGTTGCCGAGTTATCGAGTTATTGCGTCCTGTGTCAACGACGATACGCAAGTTTGCAAGTAAACATTTTCGCGCGGCTGAGAGTGTACGATTTCGAGCTGCACGGGCGATAAGGCGAGCTACACGTCTGCTCCGTGGCAAACGAATATATCAGAAATTCGATATGACGGGCTCTCAGAGAGAGAGAGAGAGAGAGAGAGAGAGAGAGAGAGAGAGAGCGGCGCATTTGGATCGTCGACGCGCTCCCGACGACTCGCTGTTGACACAGTCATATCTCGCATCTGCTGTTCCCAAGCGGCGCAAATGGGCTAAATTATCAATCGCTTGCCATTAGCGATACGAACTTTTCCCACGAGGACGCGATCATATGCATACACGAAGACCCCGTCGTTCTCATAAGATTAACAGCACGCGCGACAATGCCTGCTGCATTTCGACGAGATGCCGCAAGCACGTTGGAGACACGCTAATAAACGCGAGCTAATAAGGACAGCTGTGCCGATTAAATGATCAGCATTATTAGGATTATTCAGTGACGTCTCGGAGGCGTTTCGCAATTATTCCCCCCCCCCTCCCCCCGTCACTTTTAACGTGAGCCTCTTTCTTTGTTAGTTATTCCCGTATCTTTCCAAATGGAAGATTTTTGGTTGATTTTTTGAGTTGGACGAAGGATCATCTCGCAGGACCTGCAAAGCGGGAGCAAAATTTCGACTCGAGTTTACGAATCACACGTTGACACGGACTCGTTATCCTTCCTCTTGTTCTTGTTTCTCCTGGAAGATGGCCCGGCGCTGTTGTGCGCCGCCTCCGCGTCATTCTTTATTTGCGGTCTCCTTTAATTAAACGTTACGGCGGCGGCGCAGTCTCCCTCATTACGCGATGCATCGTCGTCGGAACTCCCAGCCCGGGGAATAGCAGTTCAAATTGCATGCAGTTACGCAATTACAAGGGTTAAGACGTTATCCTTAACGAGGATCCTCAAACTGGTCATTTAGCTTCCGGCGAAACGTTAAAGGCGATGGCACGCGCCTTTTAGACCTTAAGGTGTTGACACAACGTCTCCCAGTCTCGTTTCGGGTCTCGGGAGCGTCTTCTTTTCGTTCGCGTCGCGATCTATGTGTGTGTCTGTGTTTTTCTCTTTCTCTGACTCCCGTTTCTTTTCTCGCCGTTGCTCGTCGACGTGTCGTCACCGGAAGTGCAGCACGGGTTGACCCACATGTAGCAACAATGCTCGCCGTCGTCTGGTCGCAACGACCACATCGACCGTGGCTGCAGCTAAAGTTGCCTAGTTGCAGCCTTGGCTTTTCGCTCGCTGCATCCGTCGCTTGTTTCTCTTTTTCGGCGTTTCCTCTCTTCTCTTGTTGCCGGTTTGTGTGCGGGTTTGTGCCTGTGTCGGCGGGCGAGGGTGCGTGTGTGTGTGTGTTTAGTTGCCCACGGGCTTTGCCGGCCGATAATTTCCAGCCATCCTTGCTTAAGCAGTTTCCGGCACCGCGCGCGCGAACGATTCTCCGCCGGTTGGCCGGGGCGATTTCTCAGCGAATCTTTTCCCGGATCGATCGATACGTGGCCGGAGGTGATATTCCGCTTGAAATTCAGTCGACCGCGTCTCCCTCCCTCCCTCCCTCTCTCTCTCTCTCTCTCTCTCTCTCTCTCTCTCTCTCTCCTTTTATCTCTCGCGCGGAAAATTCGGACGCGACTTGAGCGAGAGACTCGGCCGCGTTCGCGGAATTAAAATGCGCCGTATCGCTGCATCGCGCAGCGCTGCACTGCAACGACAGCCGCGGTATAACAAATACGCGAATTTGCATTGCGCGCCGCATTAATTAGATTGCATCGGCGCCGGCGACGGGGAACGCTATCGCAGCGTCTTCGACGCGAAGTGCACTCGAGTCAAGTCTCGCGCGCGCCGTATCGCTCGCCGCGACTTCGTGTGTACGTTGCGAGAAAGTTTCGCGAGAGTGCTGCCCCGCGAGCTCCCCTGCGTTTCTTCAAAGTTCGAGCCCTTTCAAGCTATATAACTCGTCGATTCGTTTCTTATTCGAGGAAGCGCGCAAATCTATCGACGCTTGCGGAAGGCGCGCGCGTTTGTTGCGGATCGTCAGCGATATAAACTGCGTGAGAACGAAGCACGCGCGCGCGCACACACAGACCGTTTGCGCTCGCGGGACCGCGCGAAAGAGCGTCGAGCAGATTTTGGCACGGTAAATTAGCCGTTCGATGTGATAGCCCGCTTTACACGCGATGCGTCGAGTGAAACGCGCGCGCGCGATCTGATTTTATTGCGCCACCGAGTCGCAAAATACATCGCCTGCCGAAATCTGAAACTAACGCGATAATCCGGCGAATCTGTGCGCTTCTCTGTGCAACACAAATTAGCCGCCGGTTATTGCTTGGCTGTGAACTTCTAATAATGCAGCCGCGTCGCGCATTTAGGAAATGAGAAACTATAATTTCGAGTTTAGGCGTTTCGTTATACCGGTGCGAAAGTTTCATTTGGAAACCCGTCGCCGGCTTTAACATCCCATTCTGCCGATTTGCATAATCAGAAAATCCATTCTTAATAACTTATAAAGCAGCTGCGACCGGTGAGAGAAATGGAAAATACAACCGCGTTCTCTCCTCTTTGCCGATATTAAAGATTTATTTTTGCCAAATACACACGCACACGCACAGCGAGTCTCTCCGCGTGTTTCCATCGTCATTATTGCCGTCAGCGACAGAAAACGTGGTCGCCGCAGATTCCGACGCTCTCCGGATTATTTATCGGTTTCATTATTTCTCGATTTAGCCTTCGTTATTTATTATTCGTATTGATCCGTATTAATCTGGTTATTGATTTGCCATTTTCCTGCAAAGGCGCGCCCACACACCCAAACCCGGAGGCATAACAAGTCGTAGAGTACGATACACACAGTTCCCTCATTACGACCCGACGTTAAATTTACTTTCCTGCGTCTTTGGCTCTCGACCAGGATCGCGGATGGACGTTTCGAGTAACAAAGGCGTCCTCGGGAAGATTCTGCTGACGGCGCCAGCTTTCTCGGCTCGAGTCTCATCGCCTTTACAATCGCCGTTTCCTTTCTTTTTTTTTTCTTTCTCCGTCTATTCGCCGAGTGGGAGATACACACACACATGTGTGTATACATGCATACATATATATAATTTAAAAGACGACGCGATCTCTCGATATACACGCGCTGATAACATCGCTCGGGATCGACTGCAGAGATGTGTAAGCCGACTCTCGACTTCATGCTCGATCTCCCCTATGATGGCGAAGCTCTCAAGGTACAACGAATACGCACCGGCGAGGCGTCAGTAAATTTACCGGCACGTAAGTACGAGCGGCTTTAGCCGGGCCCAGGATTCAGCACTCGTAAAGCAGACACGACCGATTTCGTTATCTCCGCGGCAATCCTCCGCCTCATCCGGGGAAGAGAGAGAGAGAGAG